CAGAACCCAAAAATCGGCCACGGCTTTTAAAATATTTTTCGGCGACCCGACACGGCAGCATTATATATATACATGTATGCTATATATATATATATATATATAAAAATGCATTATTATTATACATTATTTTTATGTATATGATGGTATATTATACACACGCCTCAGACGGCCGATCCGGTCGTGACCCATTCGCGGTGTACCGAACCCGGCAGAAGAAAGTTTTCGCTGCGAATCGTCACGTTGATGATTTATGGACAGGTTTTCGCGGAGAATCCTAATTATATGTATCGACCTGTCATGACTCCGGCGCGGGCACAACGTGCACCGATCTCCGTGCGGGGTCCGCGGGCCTCGTCGGCAGAAGACTCTGAGCCCTTATTATAAAATATATATATCGTGATGTCATAATAATTATTATTCATCGTCTGCGGCGCGGTAAAAGGTACATTACGCGCCTGCATTTGTATACACGCGTAACGTGCTAACGTCCCGAACACGCTGCAGGTGGCCAAGATTGTTGTTATTATATTATGTGCGATACGAATGATACGATCACTTTATATGCGAAAAAAAAAACGACGATCACTCGGTATATTATTATAATGTACCTACTATATATGTATATAATATTGATAAGTATAAGTACTTATATCGCACTGTACGTGTAGGTGTAATATTATACGCAGACGACTGTGTATACTAAAATATACAATCAGTTCAGCTTATAAAATATACAGCGACGACATTGGCGTAATTGGAAATTGCTTCTGGGATGGGATATAAGTTTAAACTATCGCCCCCCCCCCTTGACCATTCAATTTTATAGTATTCTATTCTATTTATATTATTATAAATCAAATGAAGTAAATGGTATAGTAGGTAATAATGGTTTTCAAAGATTTGTTTTAATTATATGAGCCGCACAATKTTCTTGTAATTTATTAGAATTGTTGAGGTATCGTAGTGTTAAAAGTGAATACACTAAATTAGATGTGTTAGTGTAAACAACAAAAATGAGCATCACCAACCTAATGCAGTGTCGTGATCGTCCTCAAGTATGAGTTAAATAATAGTACATAAAAGCAAAATATTTGACACAAAGTTTGTAAAGTTATAACTAGACATACTATAGTCACTGTWTTTTTCTCAATGTCCATTGTCACAAAAACCTATCAACTCYAAAATACGTGATGAGCCGTAWTACTCTTTGAGACAAATTAAAAATCGATTAAGCCTACTACTAKATGTATTGTGAAATCATACAGTTCGTTTTTATACGAGCAAACCAAAAYTTATCTTGTGTTCGATATTTTAATAAATTTAGATGACAAAAGCTGTAGAAAAATGTCAAAAATCGTTAAACCTATATAGATAYTTGGCAAGGCGGAATAATAAAAATCTGAACGAAATTCGCCTGTGTTGGATTGCCTTACATAATTTACAAGCATAAAATCCCTTAGGTAACTATAAACATCTTAAAATCCCAATTATTAATAAATAATTAGTGACTAGCAGCTGTTTTAGAATCTATAAGGCGTAGATCAAATATATGTTACCTAATCCATTTAATAACGTACCTAAGACTCTTACAATATGAGTATTTTGTCTCATAACTCAATGTCTCTAAATAATCAATTTTTATTTGTAAAAATATGTMATATAATTATATTATATATATTATAAAGGTAATTAAGGATCAACAATGTAGATCTAAGGTAAGAATGTTTCGTTAAATTATTTAATCGTTCTACAAATTCTGCAAATGGAAATAATTATCCATAATTATACAATTTGTTGAACTATATTGATACTGTTATGAAACGATTAGATTTATTCTACCCGTCATAATTTCTATTTGACCTATCATTAATTTTATAACATAAACATAATATCATCACGTTTTCTCTTCGGTYATATTTCATTAATTATTATATCATGTACATCAATAATATTTTTTATGAAATAATTATACCAAAACAGAATGATTGCATAACAATGACAAATTATTTTGATTCGTTTAAGATATTAAAAATGTCCCACAATTACTATACATATAATAGCTTTATACTTAATAGTTAATACATTTTGTTTAAACTTAATTCTAATCCTCTTCAATTACATAATATTAAATAGACTAACATAATTGGTTATCATTTCACAAATACGTATTTGAAAATAATAGCAGAAGTCATCAAATAAAATAAAACAAGTTATAATATACTCATTATAGATTTTCAATGATTTTAAACCACACACTTTTTACAAAAAAAATACATAAATAAAAAATAAACTGGGAAASTCATTCCGCTGTATAGTAGGTTTAGAATGCACCTCATTATTAAGAATAAGTTATTTTCAATTTGAGCTCAATACACAATAATAAGTCATTGCCAACAAACAACAATTTTTAATAGAAACAGAGCAGCCTTTATTTCTA